AAGGAAGTGGGCGGCGGGTAATGTCTGTTCAAGACGTGGGACCCACGAAGAAAGGAGGTTATCGACCGTCCGATTTCAACGGTCGATTGCCTTCGGATGGGTGACCGTTGGAGACGATATTTAAATTCTTTATTTAAGAACTAATAGTTTAATAAAACCCTAAACAGCGATAGTGTGAGCACCTCACGACTTCTCGCCTTCTAAATTTGTTTGGCTTAGAATATAAAATTATATTAAGCTGTAAATATTTGGCTAATGCCCAATAATTAACAGATTTGAATGTTTTCATTTTTAAAGGAAGCATTTACATTATATATCAATTTTTTTTTTAAAAAAATTGAATTTTAATGACAATTAAATTAAAAATTAATGATTAGTAATTAGAGTATGCTTTAAATTTATGTCTCCTGATTGAAGAGAAAATTCTCTACCAATTTCTCTACGAGCCTTGCACTTATGCCACCCAATTCCTATGTATTTACATATTTACCATCTAAATTTTGTTTTTCACAATTAGATCACCCAAATCTTTTAAATCACATCCAAAATATTATCATATTAACTATTTTTAAATAAATACATGTTTTCATGGGAATTTATTGTGAATTTTGTTGTTTGGGTGAAATTTTTTAAAAAATAGAGTTAATTTTGCAAATAGCAAAATTTCAAGTGATGTAATTATCCTTTTATTATTATTATTTTTTTTTGCAACAAACAGCTATCAGAGTCATTCACATAAATTCATCATTTAACAAGAGTAACACTGCATATTCACGAAAAATTATTCCATACGGACAACGCATACAGAGATGCATGCGCTGTCCGATCTCAACCGTCGAATAGATTTTTTCTTTTAAACAAAAAATTAAAAATGAGACCCACCGAAATACACATTTGCTCTGATCGACGGTCGAGATCGGACATCGCATGCACCTCTGCGCTGTCGAATATTTCTTGAACTATAATTTGAGCAAAATATCATTTTTTCATTATAATCGAACATTGAAAGTTGCACAGAGCTTCATCATATCAGATAAAGTTGATAAATAACAATTACATGGCAGTATACAACCAATCATATGCTGGGCTGAATAAATAAATGTAAAGCACAATCTTCATAATTCAGTTATTTGTTAAATTTTGGGACATTTAAATACACACCACATACTTCTTATGTATTTACATATCTAAGCTTTTATATTTACATATAGCACTTCACCTAAACATCATATGAAAAATATCACAATTACTATATCTTTTGAGTGTAAATAATATCAAATTTTGCGTGTCAGATATGCGAATAGATGAGAATTGTGGTATGTATGTAAATTTCCCTTTATTTTTTGAATAAAAAGAATCATTTATTCAGAATTTGATGTGGGTCAATGACAAATCCAGTCCTTGATGCAGAATTTCTAATACGTTTGGAATTATTTTCTGGAATTTGTATATTTGGTGGTATAGAGATTTCAGGCGAATGGCCTGAGATGCAGAGATTACCAGAATCATCCTGTTCCCAGTAGACTTCCACCATAAAACCTCTTGGATTATCTGCTGTTTCTGTTCCAGGAATCCCCACAAATCTTGAACCCTTTGGTATCTGAAAGAGATACCAAACAAATATTTAAATAATCTACTTATAAGGTCTATTTACATCAAATAAATGATTATAAGAATATCATATGTGACAAGTTATCTCAAACTTTAAACCCTTCCAAGTTGTGGTTACAATTTATCATAAAATAATCCCCTGATTATTTACATGAGACGATTATAGAGTATATAAGAGTGTCAAATTAGAGTTTGTTTGTGGCAGTTGCAGCTGTTCGAAGAAAGATTTATAGCAGAAGAAGGTCAAACTGTTAGGAGTTACAACACTTAAAAAGGTCAGATTGCAGATTGCAAAACACAGTTTTTCGCTGTAATTTTTTTTTTTCAAAAAACAAGCAAAACGAAGTTTTGCCATACACAAAAAAGCGCTGTGCGGCACCGCACCTCGACCCCAATGCACTCTTAGTTTTCAAACTTTTTTTTAATGTGCGTTTAAATATTCATATAATTTTAGTCGTATTAAAAAAGACTGAAAACTAAATTGGTGTTTTCATAAATGTCGGGATTAAAATGATAACCTGGAAAGAGTTAGGGGACCATTTTTAGATGAGCTTAAACGCACAAATAGTAAGAACTTATCTAGGAAAAAAATCTTATTTTGATTGTCATGTGAAATTGACCTTAAACTAAACCAAGTGTGGTTTTATCATTTACTTGAAAGAGTCAACTAAACAAGATTATACTATTGCCCCAAATTCCTTCTATTTACGAGAGTAGATGTTAATAATAGTATAGTTCTCCACTAACCTCATCATGTATTCTCTGTTTTATCCTTATTAATAAGGGGCATTTGCTACATACCACACAATTCTTAGGTATTTGCATATCTAACAACTAAATAGAATTGTGGGTGTTAGATATGTAAATACATAAGAATTGTGAGGTATGCATGTGAATTCCCCTTATTAATGCTAGTAGAATTACTTAAAGAAGCACAATACCTGAATTGAAGGTCCGGATGATAAATTTAGCGTCACCATGGCCCCATCGATGGCCGCACTTTCTAGCTCTGCCTGTTTCGCAATGCTCAGGAAAACCTCTTCGAGCGTTGTAAGACCAAGTTGAATGTCTGAGATTCCAAGTTCATCCTCTCTATCTTCAAGCTCAGCAAAGAAGTCCTGATCAAGAAATATATGTAAAAAAAAAAAAAAAAAATTCTCTCTTTCCATAGGGGATGATTTACATATATACCACTTAATTCCTATGCATTTACTTACATTTCCAACACTTAATCTTCATTTTTTACATAGATGCCGCTTTACTAGGCATGTAAAGGTGTATTTCACATTTTAAAAGTCAAACTAGGGGTATTTTCTTGTGATCTAGAGAAAAAAAAAGGGAAACTTGCGTTATCTACCACACAATTTTTATGAATTTACATATCTCACAGCTAAACTATCATATTTACATTCATAGCACTTGGTGATTTAAATCTATGGATGGGAAGGTGTATTTCACTTCTAAAAAGTGACGACAGTACTATTTTTTATGTGATATTTTAAGGATTTGAGGGGTATGTCTGTAAATATGAAAGTTTACATGTGAGATATGTAAATACATTAGAATGTGAGCTTAAGTATGTAAAAGCCCCTACAAAAAATTTGGGTGGTATAAATGTAAAAAAAAAAAAAAAAAAAAGTTTACGTGTTGGAAATATAAACGCATGAGATATGGGTGGTATATATGTAAATGCCTCCAAAGTACATTCAACGTACCGGTAATAACTTCTCTTTTTCGCGGGGAATGACGAATGTTAAAAACGACTTATTTTCATCTTTTGCCTCCACATCTAGATGCTGTAAATTGCAAATTTATATCAGAGATTTGCATGGCGATAATTTCTCATTAGCTTCGCTTATATTGCGACTTACATGTTTGAAGAAATGCTTCACTAGCTGAGCTTTACGCTCATGGGTAGCATCCAGTTCTGCGTCAACAGGAGTTGTTTGTCCGGGAACACCTCCAACAAAACTAATATTAGCAATATAACCCGTTCCGAATTTCGACTTCAACCTTATAGAGGTTCCTAAACACCTCAATCTTCCCTTCGCCATGATGGCAATGCGATCGCTTAATATGTCGGCTTCCTCCATGGAGTGAGTTGTCAAGACTATAGCTCGTCCCTTCTTCGCATTTTCGATAATGTCCCAAACATGTCTTCTGCTGATTGGATCCATCCCAGTAGTCTAAAACAAATAGAATTTTGACTTAGATATACCCTAAACAAAGAAATAAGAAAAGGGGCGTTTACATACATACCGCACAATTCTTATGTATTTATGTATCTAACACAACTTTAATTACTACATCTATATCATCCAAATCTTTCATATTGCATAAAAATATCACTATTTTAAACTTTCAAAAGTGAAATACACATACATAGATAAAGTGGTGTGTATGTCAATTAAGATTGAATAGGTGTTAGATATCTAAATACAAAAGAATTGAGTGATATGTATGTAAATTTTCCATAAGAAACGTAAAAGACCATCAGAAGAACGGGCATATTTCTTGAAAATTAAAAATTGATTGCAGAAACAATATGATTTCCCAACAAAAGATTGCAGGATCATACAAGCCTGCAATTATTGATCAAGAAATATGAGCATGACTACAAAGTTACAATGATCTCCATGGCAATGAAGGTTTCAAGTTTCTTGCACTAAACCAGAAAATATTTGAGGCATTTACTTACATACCAACCAATTCCTATGTATTTACACATCTAACACCTAAACTTTAAATTTTACATTTATACCATCAAATCTTTCATATCACATCAAAGATATCATTATTACTAACTTTTTAAAAGTGAAATACACTTTTTTCATGCATAGATAAAGTTTTATTAACATAAATATTGATGTTGAGGTATTAGATATGTAATATAGGAATTGTGTGGTATGTATGTAAATCTTCTAATAACTTGCTTGACTTCCATCTTTACTTGTCTTTTAGCACCACCATTGAAATGCTGTTTCTTAAATAATACAAGACTTACAAAGAAGACTAAGATGGATATTTCAGCAAAAACATAAATCCCCAATCCCGAGGCGAATAAGGTGAAGAATATAAATTTATAACTAAAAATATTTTATTCTAGGTCATTGATTTTTGGAGATGATTCCAAGAGTTATTATTTATCCATTAAAGGAAATTAACCCAAATTTAACTTTATAAATACCATTGTAAGGGTCATTAAAATCTCTACAAGATCGAGAACAAACAAGTATACATCTCAATTTAATTTTTAAAGAAAAAATCAAGAAATAAATAAATTCAAAATGATGTTCAAACCACATATAAGGTCAAGTTCATTGTTGTACATCAAATAAACGACTGCATGAATCTCAAGGAATCCAATGGACAAAATTTACAAAGGAGCACAGAGTAATAGGACCAATGAGCAGTAGACCGAAGGCCTGCGGGCAGAAGGTCAAAGGTCCCTCAGCAGAAGACTAACAGTCCAATATCAGAAGACAAAGCTCAGTTTTTTAGCCGGGTTCGAAGACCGGCCGAGCAAAGGCCATCCGAGCCAAAGATCAAAAGTATCAAAACGAGTGGAAACATCAATTTATTTGTTGTCATAATCCGACTCTAAAAAAGAATTCAACAACGGAAGCCAACTCACAGACGACCCCACAGTTCTTTGTCAAAAACTGGCCACAACACACTCAACAAAACATCCTGAAGGATCTCACTTGTCAAGAAGTGAGCTACCTATAGGACTATGATAATTTACTCTCTGCCTGATAGCCTAATTTTATTTCACCCACAGGAGTTTCATATCTTGGGAATTGGGATTGGTGGTCAACAACCAAAATAATAAGGCCAACCCAATCAAGTTAGACCAACTCGAAGAACAATGAAGGTTGACCAATAACCCAATACAATACATGTCATGAAGAACCAACCGAGTCATAGGAGGGCCAAACCAAAGACTCAAATATATAAAATACCGATAATAACCTGTACAACCCCCATTAAAACAAGAGCATAATTGTAACTTCATATGTTGTACCCTCTTCCCTATAAATAGAAGATCATGTCATAAATAAACAGTTACACACTTCTTTCAAAGTAATGTTCATTACTGCGCTTTTCTCTATCTCTTGTTCTTTCTCTCTCTCACGTCTTAAGCATTATTCCTTGGGATTGATTCACAGACAAATCAAAATTCAACATCCTAAAAGATGCGATAAGCATAAATTATGTTAGCAACAAGAAAAGGAGTAGCACAACAAGAAGAAGTCCACAATAGAGACACCGCCAACATAGAATGCACTAGAGAATTTGTGTAGCAGCAAATCAAGGAGCTAAAAGACCAAATGATGGAAGCCCTCAGAGAAATAGCAACTCGTGGAAGGCAGCAAAATCTCCGAGAGCATAAACAACTTCGAGAAGAAGAACCAGTGCCCAACGCCTGAAGGGTGATTCAGGGCCCAGAATGGGTTAGATACTCTTAGCACCAAGACAGTATTGGATCGACACTGATGGACAGGCAACAATTCAGGTGAACCAAAGACCCCACCAACTATAGAACCAATTCTCTAAGCATATTTTTGAAGCTGAGCCCTTGGAGAGATTTAAGATACAATCACTGGAATGCAATAAGGGTCGGATTGATCTAACTGATCCCATAGCATCCTTCAAGACGATTGTTTGTTTGTTGCAGATCACATATGCGTTGAAGTGTTGATTGTTTTGTACCACGCTGAGGGAATTGGCCCTTAGGTGGTTCAACAGACTGCCAGCTGGAGAAATTATTTTCTTTAAAGATTTCAAAAGGATTTTTGTAACATTTCACAACACCCAAAGCCGCAGAAAAGTTCACAAGCCCTTTTGCAGATCATGCAGGGACAAAACGAGAGCCTCTACTCATTTGTTACTTGATTCCAAAAGGAGATGCTAAAGGTGTGACATCTAAAACATGCAGTAGCATACACAACTCTAGCTCTGCGGTTGAAGGAGGAACCATTCAGTTACACGTTGGGTCTCCAACGACCCAAAACCTTGGCCAAATTGTTGGAGTTGGCCAACAATTATATCTCGGCCGAAGAGTACAATTCCACCCCTACTTTTACCAGAGCGGAGTCAGGCACTTGTAGTTTACAGAAGATAGTCCCTAGAGATGATAGATGAAGACTAAGGGAAAACTTACATCCTTTTGTTCTGCAGCAATACAAAGACAAGGCCCAGGCAATAGGAGGGTTGATAGAAGTTACAATCGAGGGGGTCAAGCTCTATAACCTAAACAATGACTGATTTCTCACAATGAGCAATCGCTAAATGATCACGAGACTCAGAAGATAACTCCACTTAGAGTCTTGATGGCCAAGCTAGTGGTAGCCATCCAAAACAAGGAGGATTTCAAAAAGACATCGCCTATGAGAATCAGAGCTTTTCTCCGAGATAACACGAAGTATTATGCTTATCAAAGAGACCATGACCATGACACGTAGGAATGTCGAAACTTGGTCGATGAACTGATTAAAACTGAAGAACTAAAGAAGTTTTTAGCATCATGAGCGACAACCTAGAGGCAAGGGAAGGCTCTAGTCGAAGAAATTTTGGTGAATATTTTTTTATTATGTCATTCATATTGTTGTGATAGTACTAGACATCATCGGAGACGGCTGAGATTCCTCCCGGAGAACCAGCTAGAAAAGGCTCTGGTTAGGAGAAATGTGTCATATTGCTTTTGCTCCAAAGCGCGACACTCATCCGCCCATCATAATCACTTACACAAACCTATCCCCTAAGGGGAACCCTTACAACGATGTTATCGTCATCACTGCTTTGATCAACAACTACCAAATCGGTAGCATCTTAATCTACTCTGGCAACTCCGTGAACATTTTGTTCAGATCAGTGTTCGACAAGATGTGTTCGACAAGATGGGACTCAAGGGCGACCAACTAATTGCATCGACCAGACCACTTAATGGCTTCTCAGGAGAAAGGAAGAAAACCTTGGGAATAATCACAATGGCAGCCATGTAAGGAGAAACATTTCACCTATATGGAGGATTTTCTAGTGGTTAACTCGTCGCCAACTTAAAACATTATTTTTGGCCGGTCTCTGCTCAACGACTTCAACCTCGTTGTCTCAACATCCTATGTAGGAATAAAATTTTCGGGCGAAGTTGTGATCATCATCAAAGACTAATATTTTATTATAAAATTTGTTATTGTTTGTTAAATTTAAATTTTGAGAAAATGCATGTCTGATTTTTATTATTATTACGCGATAGGCATGTCCAACACTTAGAAGTATCTTTAACATGGGAAGAATTGAGATGGCAAAGAACTATAAAGGGAAAAAAATTCTGAAATTTAAAATGCTGAAATTAAAGGGAAAAAAATTCCAATCATAATGAATTTAAAAGTCATTTGATTAGCAATGGGATTAGTGCAATAGATGAATAACTAATTGAACTTATATTG